CTTTTATTTTGAAAAAAATTAAGATTCACTTGAAAGCATGCATAAGAATTCTTCAAAGTCTTTCGATCTCTCTCACAATAAACAATCAGAAAAAAAAACATGAATGTGTGAAGTAGGATGTAAGTAACAGACATTTCAGTTATAAGAAACAGAAAGACAGAAATGTCAATAAATGAGAAATGGGGTTGCTAATCTTTGGAGAGGTACACTGCCCCCAATAAACCACACCTCCCTGTATTCATGCTCTTTGGTGATCCAGACTCCTGGAGCGGCTCTGGCCTGGCTCCGTGACCTGCTTTGGAGCAACAGGAATGCAGCAACACTGATGCTGAGTGACTTTGAGGTTACATCATAAGCTTCGAACTCCCATCTCCTCCCTGTGGCCAAACGGTAGCTCATATCATGAATACTATGTTTATCATTCCCCTGCCTTTTAAAAACTAACAGTTCTACTACGTATGTGTGCATCACTAAATCATACAGTGTTTAAGTTCTTTTTTCCCTTAAAGTCTTTCCTTTGCGAGACGTGACGAGACATGCACAGGCACATGTGGCAAACACAGGCACAGTTACAGCTGACAGTGGCAGCCTGTGCAGATGGCCGAGCCACTAATCAGCAGGTAGAAACGAGGACGTTCTACGGCAGGCAGGGCTGCTCTATGGGCAGGGGCTGGTCAGGAACTCCTCCTCTTTTTCAGCTCTACCTCGTAGGAATCTACTAATATGGGCATTTGCTGGTTAAGGACATGGAGAAACTGGAATCCTTGAGCTTTGCTGGTGAAAATGTAAAATGGTGCAGCTGCTGTAGGAAATAGTAATGGCGATTCCTCAAAAAATTAAGCATAGAATTGCCATATGATCCGGCAACTATCTTTCTGGATATACTGAACAGATATTTGTACACCACATTCATAGCAGCATTATTCATAACAGCAAAAGCTGGAAGCAACCCAAGTGTCCATTGACAGATGAATGGATAAACAAAACGTAGTATATATATACAACAGAATATTATGTAGCCTTAAAGAGGAAGGAAATTCTGACACATGGTACAATATGGATGAACCTTGAGGATATTCTGCTAAGTGAAATAAGCCATTCACAAAAGGACAAGTACTGTATGATTCTTTTCATATAAGGCACTTAGAGTAGTCAAATTTGTAGAATTTGACAGAAAGCAGAATGAGGGTTGTTGGGGGCTATGGGGAGAGAATGGGTTGTTATTGTTTAATACAGAGTTTCAGTGTGGGAAAATGAAAAGGTTCTAGAGAAGGATGGAGGTGGTGGTGGTTGCAGAGCAATGTGAATGTATTTAATGCCACAGAACAGTACAGTCAAAAATGGTTAGAGTGATAAATTTTATGTTATGTATATTTTGCCACAATAAAAAACCTAATAAAAATGTACATTTTCTTACACAATCACAATGCATAATCACACCTAATTAAATTAAAACAATTCTCCACTATCCTCTAATACCAATCCACAATAAAATTTCTTCAACTATCTCAAAAACTGTCTTTGCACACCTGATTTA